ACCTTGTGATCCCCCCGCCTCAGCCTCCCAAAGTGCTGGAATTACAGGCATGAGCCACCGCACCTGGCCAAAATCTTTCTTATGTTTAACCTAAATCTTGTCTTATCCTTGTTAACTGGATCTAAGAAAACACAGATATTTAAGATCTCTATGAAAGAGATCAACAGCAGATACCTATTTGGTTTGCAAATGAATGCATTGAAATAAAGAGCTTTCCTAGGACACTGTGTTAATTTGTTAAATTTGGCAGATTCCCTGAAAAGTAAATTAGGTCCTGTTGAAGATCAGTAAGAAATAAAGATTGTAAAAAGCTCTGACATGTCAAGCTAATTCAACTTGGTGAGTTAATCTCTTGTATGGTAACTTCTGCATAATTCATTCTGTAGATCTGGGCACTCCTCTAGAAATAAATCATTTCAAGTTGCTTATCCTTGACTTTCAACCCACAGAAATGCTAACAGTACTGATTACACACATGATGTGGCTGGAATGCTGGGATTTTGTCCTGATTAGGGGGTGAAATGGACTAGGGTTGGGGGGAGGAGGAGGAAGGGAGTCAGAACAGCTGATACCTGACAGTACTCCGGCGACAACTTGATGAGGAAAATGAGCAGCAAGGTAGATTCGTGACAGACAGACGTTCAGCTGCACGGCCCAGAATCCCAACCACAATATGACATTCAGGCACCTGCAGTGGAAGAGGCGACCATAACGAAGGCAGGTGCAGCTCCTTTAGCAAAGAAAACAGCCCCGGCAGGAATGTTGGAGCCTGGCAAACTTACGTGCTCTCAGTGGAATTTTTGTAAATTGAAGCCGGTACTCAAAAGCCCAAAGATGCCTGCTGAGGGCTGGGTGCAGTGGCTCACGCCTGTAACCCCAATACATTGGGAGGCCGAGGTGAGAGGATCACTTGAGGCCAGGAGTTCAAGACCAGTCTGGGCAACGTAGCAAGACCCCCATCTCATTAAAATTGGCTGGGCACAGTGGCTCATGCTTGTAATTCCAGCACTTTGGGAGGCTGAGGTGGGTAGCTCACTTGAGGTCAGAAGTTTGAGACCAGCCTGATCAACAGGTGAAACCCTGTCTCTAGTAAAAAAAAAAAATGCAAAATTAGCCAGGTGTGTTAGCACACACCTGTAATCCCAGCTACTTGGGAGGCTGAGGCAGGAGAATTGCTTGAACCCAGGAAGTCGCAGTAAGCTGAGAGCTTGCTATTGCACTCCAGCCTGGGCAACAAGAGTGAAACTTCGTCTCAACAACAACAAAAACATTAAAATTTAAAAAAGCTAAAATAAAAACAAAATAAGGCTGGGCACAGTGGCTCACGCCTGTAATCCCAGCACTTTGGGAGGCCGATGCGGCGGATCACCTGAGGTCAGGAGTACGAGACCAGCATGGCCAACATGGTGAAACCTCATCTCTACAAAAGATACAAAAATTAGCTGGGCGTGGCGGCACGTGCCTGTAATCTCAGCTACTTGAGAGGCTGAGGCAGGAGAATCACTTGAACCTGGGAGTTGGAGGTTGTGCCATTACACTCCAGCCTGGGCAACAAGAGCCAAACTGCATAAAAAAAAAAAAAAAAAAAAGATGGTTTGCACTGTGGCTGCACATCGAATTCCTTGTAGCAGGAATGTCTTCTGTTTTTCTGATTATTTTAACCTGGACGGGCAACTCTATGATTGGCGCAGACATGGGTTTTTATTTAAGCCCTGCTGCTACCTCACTACCTGATCTTCTAACTCCCTTCATGGTGTCGGGCCTTGTTTCCTTATCTGTAAAACAAGGGATTGCACTACTGGATCCCTTTCAGCCCAAACATTCCGTGACTCTGAGGCTTACCCTTAACCAAACTGCCACAGCTCTAATCAGTGCCTGCCTGAGGAGTGGGAGCGGGCTAGGGGAAAGTGAGGAAGAGCACGTGCTGTGCCAGCTACAGAGAGAGCCATCTCCTGCCCTCCACCGCCGACACCCCAGTGCTGAGTTCTCACCGAAATCTGTAGGTCAGCTTTTTCTTTCCCCGGAAGATGGAGAGAATAGATGTAACCATCACGTAGTATACACCTGCTGTACCCATGGCATGGCCAGAGGGGCTCCCTAAAGGGCAGGAAAGAGAAGAAAGGTGAAAAGGCCTTCATCCGGGAGACTGCCAGGGGGCATCATCTACCCAGCCACCCAGCCATCCACCCATCTACTCATTCATCCATCCATTCACCCATCTTACCATTCATTTGTTATCCATAACTCATTTATTTAACAAATATCCATCTACTATGCACCAAGCATTGTGCAAGGCTCTGGGAATACAATGGTGAGCAAAGCGAGAGAGGGTCCCTGTTCTTGCAGTTAAATACAGTCTGGAGATTACACAAAGAATTGGCATACTGGGTGTACCGTGCCCTCCACATCTCTTCCTTCTCTCCTTGCGCACTCTGTTTTAGCTACGCTGGCCTCATTGCTTTCCTTTAAACACACCAAATACCTTCCCACCTCGGGGCTTCTGCATTGCGATCCTGTCTGGGCAGATGGCTCTTTGTAGCTCTTCTGCCAGAAACTTACTTCCTCATATTCTTTAAGACTTGACTCAGATCTCACTTTCTCAGTGAGTCCTTCTCTGCTATTTAACCCTGCATGCAACTGGTTCCTTTTATTTTTTTAAGAGACGGGGTCTTGCTCTGTCTCCCAGGCTGCAATGATCATAGTGGCATGCTCAAAGCTCACTGCAGCCTCTACCACCTGGGCTCAAGCAGTCCTCCTGCCTCTGCCTCCTGAGTAGCTGGGACCATAGGTGCACACCATCAAACCCAGCAAATTTTTATTTTTATTTTTTTGCCAGGCTGGTTTTGAACTCCTGGGCTCAAGCAATTCTCCCACCCTTGGCCTCCCAAAGTGTTGGGATTATAGGTGTGAGCCACCATGCCCAGCCTGGTTCCCATCCCATTCTTAATTCCTCTACCCTGAGAGACACAGGGTCCTGAGATGTACCTCCCAGACCTCCCTCCTGAACCGCAGGACTTATTTTGTAGCTGTTGATAGTGTGATGACAGATGACTCTCTGCTCTCAGCCTTCTCTGGGCATTGCTCTGGGCTAAGGAGAGTCACCTTGATCAAGGTTATGCTCTCCCTGGGGTCTGATTCCCTTGACCCAACTCTGAAGAGCCATCCCCAGCTTCAGAGCTCCCTGTGGGGTTGGATGAGGCAGACTCACAACCGTACCTCTCCTGCCATGTTGGTTCCTGTTCCTTCCCTTCTACAAGTACAGTTCCCCAGAGTATCAAAACTCCTGCAGGTGAATCTCCATTTCAGCCTGCTTTCCAGGGAACCCCATAGATAAAGGCTTTCTTCCCTCCCTGCCTCCCAGCCTCACTCATTGCCTCCCTTCCTCCCTTTCTCGCTTCCTCCCTTCCTCCCTTTCTTCTTTCTTTCTTTCCTTCCTTCCTCCTTCCTTCCCTTCCTTCCTCCCTTCCTTCCTCCTTCCCTTCTTCCCTTGAACACTAATTACATACTTTGGGTAATTCATTTAAACTTTCTGGACCTTAGCTACTCCACCTAAGAGCAGAGATAGTAATTTGCTTTCATAAAGACAGAGGACTAAATCAAATAACCTCTTAAAGCCCCTTTCAACTTTCCAGTTTGTGCCTCTGTTAATTTCAGGGAGAAATTCATCCTTGATAATAAGCTATTATGATGAAAGCAAACATCTTTCTACCAAAGATGTACAATAATGTGATCTTGGCTCACAGCCTCCCAGACTCAAGTGATTCTCCTGCCTCAGTCTCCTGAGTAGCTGGGATTGCAGGCATGTGCCAAGATGCTCGGCTAATTTTTGTATTTTTAGTAGAGACAGGATTTTGCCATGTTGGCCAGGCTGGTCTCAAACTCCTGAAATCAGGCAATCCACACGTCTTGGCCTTCCAAAGTGCTGGGATTACAGGCATGAGCCATTGCACCTGGCCTATCCTATATATTAATAGTTTACTTTTTTTTTTTTTTTTTGAGACAGTCTCATTCTGTCACTCAGGCTGGGGTGCAGTGGCACAATCTTGGCTCACTGCAACCTCTGACTCCCAGGTTCAAGCGATTCTCCTGCCTCAGCCTCCCGAGTAGCTGAGACTACAGGTATGCACCACCACGCCCGGCCAATTTTTGTATTTTCAATAGAGACAGAATTTCTCCATGTTGGCCAGGCTGGTCTTGAACTCCCAACCTCAGGTGATCTACCTGCCTTGGCTTCCCAAAGTGCTGGGATTACAGGCGCGAGACACCGCGTCTGGCCTAGTTCACTTATTTATTATGATTTTTGTATATTTCACCTCCTCTATTCAGATTTCAGCTGCACAAGGGCAGGGATCTTTGTGTCTGTGCTGTTCACTGACAGAGGTATCCCTAGCACATAGAACAGGGTATAGCTCCCAGTAGGTGCTTGATAAGTAACAGCTGCATGAGTGAATATGCTCTGAAGTGAAGGAGTGGTCTGTGAGAGCGAATAACTAAGGGATCTTCCCTAGTTTTGAGGCAAGGAAAGGGTCTCCGAGGAAGGGATGCTAGTACCTTAGAGGATACTAGTTTTAGAGGGCAGCTTAGACCTTAGGGTGAGGGAGGGGGCTTCCTATTATACACTGAAAATGAAGTCTATCGTTTGATTTGACAGTACCCATCTGGCTGTAACCAATAAAATGTAGGCACGGCGAGGGATTGGATGGTCAGCTCAGGAGGGCACATCCAGTGGGCCAGGCCATTGGGAAGGACCCCCCAGGACTCAGGCTTCTGCCCTCTCCTTTCTCAGGACACAGGGCTGCAGGGCGGTGACTCTCATGGGCCCTTTGCCTCTGGGTGCCCGTGCCTCTCTGGACTCCATCCAGGTTCTGCAACAGGCACATTTCCAATACCATTGTGCTATTCAGGAAAGCATTGCTAAAGTGAATTAACTTGTGCAAATTGTAGAGCATGATAAAAGTACAAAGGAATGGACCTCCTCCTGTCCCCTCAAGGTCAATTTCATCCATAACAGATGAACAAGTTCCACCCAGCCTCCGTCTCTACAGGGGCTGGGACGCTCACCTGGTCCAGTCTCACAGGTGACAGGGAACTGCTTTATCAGCGGCACGGAGGTGTTGCTGTAGTAGTCAGTGTCCAAAACCCACCAGTATGGACGCTGACCGAAGAGAATCCTGTGGAAAAACAGAACCAGTTTCTGGGGTTACTGAATGAATGCTTTGGCCACACCTTCAAGAAAACTGTAGCTTGAGAAGGATTTCACATGTTGCCTGTAGAAGGGAGAACTGGGTGGCTGGGGAGAAGTGTGAGAGGGAGATGTTTTATGACACATATTTATGTATGTAACTTTTGCATTTAGAACTGTTTGAATGTATTACCTTTTTTTTTTTTTTTTTTGAGACAGGATTTGGCTTTGTAACCCAGCCTGGAGTGCAGTGGCACAATCTCGGCTCATTGCAACCTCTACCTCCTGGGCTCCTCCCACCTCAGCCTCCTGAGTAGCTGGGACTATAGGTGCGTGCCGCTACATCCAGCTAATTTTCATATTTTTAGTAGAGACAGGGTTTCACCATGTTGCCCAGGCTGGTCTAAATCTCCTGAGCTCAGGCAATCCTCCCACCTTGGCCTCCCAAAGTGCTGGGATTACAGGCGTGAGCCACTTCGCCTGGCTGTATGATTTATTTAAACACAAATAATGAAGCCCAAGATTCTGAACTCTGGCCAGGCGTGGTGGCTCACACCTGTAATCCCAGCACTTTGGGAGGCAAGGTGGGAGGATTGCCTGAGCTCAGGAGATTGAGACCAGCCAAGGCAACATGGTGAAACCCCGTCTATACCAAAAATATAAAGAATTAACCAGGTGTGGTGGTGCATGATTGTAATCCCAGCTACTTAGGAGGCTAAGGCAGGAGAATTGCTTGAACCTGAGAGGTAGAGGTTGTGGTGAGCCAAGATTGTGCCACTGCACTCCAGGCTGGGAGACAGGGCAAGACTCTGTCAAAAAAAAACAAAAGAAAAGAAAAGAAAATAAGAAAAATCCTGAAATCCATATAATGGCAGCTATGTGACTTTTTTTTTCTTTACCTCCAGAAGTATTTGCCCTGGAACTACAGTTTTCAACTTGGACTTGCATACACCATGGGTTCCCTCTTCTTTCTTCAGGCCTCAGGGAATCTTGCATTTCCTCTGACATCAAAGAATGCTCTCTATCCCCTAGGACAAGCCCCTCCAGGAAACATGGCCTGCATTTCCATCAGAATTGCTCTCTGTAAGGATGTATATAGCTACACATGTTTGTTCTGTGTCCTCTCTGCTTTGAAACAGAGTATCTTAGACAAACCACTTTCCCTTTAAACTTACTAGATACATTTTTCGCTGTGGAAACAGATGTCAAGTGTCAGTCAGGATGCCTTTTTTCCCTTGTGGTGGAGGAATAGTGATTTCTCACCGAAATCAGGGAGAGCCACTAACTCTGACCCCTACCAACCCAGAGAGATTGCATGGTTCTTCAATGGAGATCACGTGTTGGAATAACTCTTCATCTTTTCTTTCTTTCTTTCTTTCTTTTTTTGAGACCAGAGTCTTGCTCTGTTGCCAGGCTGGAGTGCAGTGGCATAATCTCTGCTCACTGCAACTTCCAACTCCCTGTTTCAAGCCATTCTTCTGCCTCACCTTCCCGAGCAGCTGGGATTACAGGCACATGCCACCATGCCCAGTTAATTTTTGTATTTTTTGTTTCATTTTTTTAGTAGAGATGGGGTTTCACCATGTTGGCCAGGATGGTCTCTATCTCCTGACCTCGTGATCTGCCCACCTCAGCCTCCCAAAGTGTTAGGATTACAGGCGTGAGGCACCGTGCCTGGCCAACACTTCATCTTTTTATTTTTTAGAATCATGCTGCTGAAGGAGACAGTGCAAACAAAATTTAGTAGCTTTTTCAACAGTGGTTTCAGGAATCTCATCAATCTGCCTGGGGCTCCAGAAACTAATATATTTTTTTCCCCCTACGCTAAAGGACTTTAATTGTTATAGCAAAAGAATATTAGAGCTAGAAGAGATCTTAAGAATCGCCTGATCAGAGATTGCAGCGAGCCGAGACCGTGCCATTGCACTCCAGCCTGGGCAACAAGAGTGAAACTCCGCCCCCACCTAAAAAAAAAAAAAGATAAGCGTGGTGGCTCACACCTGTAATCCCAGCACTTTCGGAGGCTGAGGCAGGCAGATCAGCTGAGGTCAGGAGTTCAAGACCAGCCTGGCCAACATGGTGAAACCTTGTCTGTACTAAAAATACAAAAATTAGCTGGGCATGATGGCGGGTGCCTGTAATCCCAGCTATTTGGGAGGCTGAGACATGAGAATTGCTTGAACCTGGGAGGTGGAGATTGCAGTGAGCCAAGGTCACACCATTGCACTCCAACTTGGGTGACAGAGCAAGACTCTGTCTCAATAAATAAATAAATAAATAAAAATTGCCTGATGACCAGCCTGAGCAACATAGTGAGACCCTGTCTTTCAAAAAAAAAAAAAAAAATTAGCTGAGCAGGCCGGGCGCAGTGGCTCATGCCTGTAATCCCAGCACTTTGGGAGGCTGAGGCAGGCAAATAACGAGGTCAGGAAATCGAGACCATTCTGGCTAACATGGTGAAACCCCATCTCTACTAAAAATACAAAAAATTAGCCAGGCATGGTGGCACGTGCCTGTAGTCCCAGCTACTCGGGAGGCTGAGGCAGGAGAATCACTTGAACCTGGTAGTATGAGACTCCATCTCAAAAAAAAAATTAGCTAGGCATGGTGGTGCGCACCTGCAGTCCTAGCTACTTGGAAGGCTGAGGAGGGAGGATAGCTTGAGCCCTGGTGTTTGAGGCTGCAGTGAGCTAAGATTATACCTGCTACTGTATTCCAGCTTGGGTGACAGAGCAAGACCTTGTCTTGAACGATCAAACAAAAAAGAATCAGCTGGTGGTAGGTAGTTTTGAGGATGGTAAAAATCTTAGAAGGCAGCTGATCCCCTTCATTTTCTAGATGAGAACATAGAGGCCAAACCAGTAGTGTGCTAGGGTCCCCTGGAGCTGGCCAAGAAGAGTCAATGATTAAATATTCAGGAATTTTGCCAGCAGGAACCAAACATAGCTTGAAAGTGGTCATAACACAAAAATTAGCCAGGCGTGGTGGCAGGCATCTGTAATCCCAGCTACTCCGGAGGCTGAGGCAGAAGAATTGCTTGAACCTGGGAGGTGGATGTTGCAATGAGCCAATTCACGCCATTGCACTCCAGCCTGGGGGACAGAGTGAGACTCCGTCTCAAACAAACAAGCAAAAAGAAAGTGGCCATAATGGGAATGTTTGCATGGTAGAAACTGGCAAATCAGCACTCGATGTAACATAATTCTTCTTCTTCTTCTTCTTTTTTTTTTTTTTTTTTTTCTCCCCTTTTTTTCCTGTTTGGGGTGTTGGGGCGCAAACTCAGCTCACTGCAACTTCTGCCTCCCGGGTTCAAGCAATTCCCCTGCCTCAGCCTCCCAAGTAGCTGGGATAACAGGCGTGCACCACCACACTTTGCCTATAACATAGTTCTTAAGAGCACTGCCTCAGAAGCCAGCCTGCCAGACTGGGCTTCCATCCTGACTCAGCATATACTAACCATGTTGGCCTAATCATTTAACTCAGCACCTTGGTCTCTGCATCTGCTATTTCTAAATAGTAGCAACTCTCACAGAAAAGCACACAGCACATGGCCTGGCACACACTAAGTGTTTAATAAATGTTAACCCTGATTATTGTTAAGCTGCCAGGGATAACCTATTTGTAGATTATAAAACAGAAACTCAGAGAATTGATGACTTGCCAAGGACATGCAGTCGATGGGTGGCAGAACGAGGGCTGGAGCCCAGTTCCCAGGCTGACTTTACATTACCCCACAAAACAGGCTTTTGAATCATCTGTGTGTTTCCTTTTTTCATATAGCAAACATCATCTTATTTTTTTTTTTGCAACAGGGTCTTACTCTGTTGCCCAGGCTGGAGTACAGTGGCACAATCTCAGCTCACTGCAACCTCCTTTGCCTCTCACTTCAGCCTCATGCGTAGCTGGGACTACAGGTGCATGCCATCATGCCCAGCTATTTTTCCTAATGTTTTTGTGGAGATGGAGTTTCGCCATGTTGCCCAGGCTGGTCTTGAACTCCTGAGCTGACAGGATTTGCCCACTTTGGCTTTCCAAAGTGCTGGGATTATAGGCTTGAGCCACCATGGCTGGCCCCATACATCTATCTTTATTTTACCTATTCTGCTTCATAGTAATAAAACTCTTTGCTCAAAGTCTATATAACTCAGACTTATCAGGAAATTCAACTGTCCTACCCTTTAACCCATATATGAAATTGGCTTTCCTGTATTTTCAACTCACTGGTAGGATTTTTTTCTGTCTTCCCTCTTTATATGTAGATGATCCAAAATCAGAGAGACAGGTTGGGAGTATGAGTAGCCCGTTGCTTCCTGAATAGCTTGGGAAAAGCAACTTCGGACGGACAGACATTTCCGGAGTGAATGCCAGCCTCTTTCCTTGCCGATCTCCTCTCTATAGGTTCTTACCACTTAAAGACGAGGTTGAGCCAGTCTCCAATCACAGCCACCCAGAGGAGTTTAATGCCCACAGCTTCTTGAAGATGGAACCAGATGGGGAAGAGGACATAGAAGGCATTCCTGAGGTCTGCGATCACAGACACCAAGATGAACCAGTCCTGGGAGTCTTGGTAATTCACCTGGAGGTAGCGTGTTGACTGGATCCCAAAGTCATGGAGAACATTCATTCCTTCCTCCATCCTCATTTCCTTGGCACCTCAGGAAGCCGTCAGCAGAGCCCTTGCACTGTTTCCAGCCTTGGTGGTGATTGCTCTGCTATCAGTCTGTGCCTTGCCCCTGTTTTATATGCCCTGTATCCAGTATTCGGGTCAACCCAGCCCTGATCTTTGGACTCAAAAACCACTTTTGTCTAAAATATATTGATCAAAGGTGCATCACCAGTAGGTTGATGCAAACGTGTTCAGGATGATTTACGTAAAATAGAAAATAGGCACACAAAAACAGCCTGATCGGCCATGTACTCAGCAGGGCAAATGATTAACTTTGGCATGCTTCTTGGCAGTGCAAGGGGCTGCCCTCCAGGTCCCCGAAGCCAGGCCAGAGATAGGACAGAGTCTACCTCCACCATGATTCTTGCAAAGATGTCAGATTTTCTACGTCTGCAACAGCACTTATTTGGGGACAAAGAAAAATCTTGTTGCTCCAGCTACTCAAGTTTTAAGTTCCTAATTTTAAAATTAGTAAGTTCTGGCAGGTTGTGGTGGCTCACACCCATAATCCCAGCAATTTGGGAGGCCGAGGTGGGCAGATCATGAGGCCAGGAGTTCAAGACCAGCCTGGCCAACATGGTGAAACCCTGTCTCTACTAAAAATACAAAAATTACCTGGGCGTGGTGGTGTGCTTCTGTAGTCCCAGCTACTCAAGAGGCTGAGGCAGGAGTATTGCTTGAACCCAGGAGGCGGAGGTTGCAGTGAGCTGAGATTGCGCCATTGCACTCTAGCCTGGGCGACACAGCACGACTCTATCTCAAAAAAAAAAAAAATGTTGGTGTGTGTGGTAGTGTACACTTGTAGTCCCAGCTATTCAGGAAGCTGAGGCAGGAGGATTGCTTGAGCCCAGGAATTGAAGGCTGAAGTAAGGTATCGTCCCACCACTGCACTCCAGCCTGGGCAACTGAGCAAGACCCCTGTCTCTAAAAAAACAAAACAAAAGAAAAACAACAAATAAAATATAGTAACTTCTATTGTATTAGGGACTGCCATCTTGCTGGTGTTTCCTTAACTGTATTAGAGTCTCCGGTCTGCCTCTGGTTTGGGAGATCAACCCCCTTCCTGGTATTGGCTTCACATCTCTTAGGGCCACAAAGTAATCATTTTTGAATGCAGTGATTAATTCATTTAATGACCTTAAAGTTACAGCCCTTTGTGGTGGAGTCATTGTTGTTGTTTTTGAGACAGAGTCTTGCTCTGTTGCCAGGCGCCAGGCTGCAGTGCAGTGGTGCAATCTCGGCTCACTGCAATCTCTGCCTCCTGGGTTCAAGCCATTCTCCTGCCTCAGTCTCCCGAGTATCTGGGACTACAGGCGCGCATCACCACGCCCAGCTAATTTTTGTATTTTTTAGTAGAGATGGAGTTTCACCATGTTGGCTGGGATGGTCTCAATCTCTTGTTCTTGTGATCCACCCACCTCAACCTCCCAAAGTACTGGGATTACAGGTGTGAGCCACCGTGCCCAGCCTGTTTTTTTTTTTTTTTTAATTTTCTCTCTTTTTTTTTTTTTGAGACAGGGTCTCTCCGTGTCACCCAGGCTGGAGTGCAGTGGCATAATCAAAGCTCACTGCAGCCTCAACCTCCTGGGCCCACATGATCCTCCCACCTCAGCCTCCTGAGTATCTAGGACCACAGGCACATGCCATCATGCCAGGCTAATTTTTGTATCTTTTGTAGAGATAGGATTTTGCCATGTTGCCCAGGCTGGTCTTGAACTCCTGAGCTCAAGCCATCTGCCAGCCTTGGTTCTCAAAGCTCTGGGATTACAGGTGTGAACCACCATGCTTGGCCAAGTGTTTTAACTCATAAGTTTAAGCAATAGAATGAATGTACAGTCATACTGTACAACAATATGATGAATATATGGTTCTAAATAAGCATACCAGCCAATTGGTTACTGAAGACTTAAAAGAGTTTGAAACTTTCAGTTAATTTTGAAAAAGGGCTTCTGTGTCTTGAGCTTTCTTGTATACATTGTATATGTACAAAAGGAAGCTCAAGATACATTATGTGTGTGTATGTGTGCATACTACATATCAGCCTGCAAATAGTAGAGTGACCAAAACCCTCACACTTGGGTTACAGAGGACTGTGAAAGGAATCAGGGAATGAATTAGGTAATGAATTCATGTATTTTTAAAAATAGGGCTATTTAATCATGCTTCATATCACTATTATTTATTATTTATTTATTTGTTTATTTTTCTAGAGACAGGGTCTCACCATGCTGCCCAGACTGGTCTCAGATTCCTGGCTTCAAGTGATCCTCCCGCCTCAGCTTTGCAAAGTGTTGGATTATTTTGGCTCCCAGGCAGGAGCCACTGCCCCCAAATTCACTCATTTTTGAGAATAAGAGCTAGAGGGAATAATGCGTTTAAAAACTTGCCTGAATTTTCCTTCATGAAGTCTATATTGACATGTAAGGGGTAGCTCGGGACAGAGAAAAGAAACTCAGACCTAATGAATCTGTGGCAAAGGTTAACAACATTCCATGCTGGAAATGATTAAAACAGCCTCCAGGAGGTATGACCTGGAGTCTCCTCCCCACCCCACCAAGGGCTCCCACCCAGCTCATGCTGACTCCAATTGCCCTTGACCGAATGGTTTCTGCTGGTCCAAGCAACATTCTCCTGCCACATCTAACCTCGGAGAGCAGGTAATGTGGTGGGTGCAAAGAAAGCCCATGTGTGGCAGTATTGGGGCGTGGGGTGTATGCAATTTGCACTGTCAGGACGGCTGAGCCACAGGTAGGCAGCCTCTCTCTACCCAGATAAGCCTCTATTGTGGAGTGACTATTGCAGTGACCTCTGGGATTAGAGTTTCTATGGTCTGAGGTGAGGCAAGGTGAGTCTAAAAAAATATCCAAAGGCCACCGTCTGGGTCACGGCAGGGCAGCTAGGAGCCAGGGTCTCTTAGGAGGGGTTCTATCATGTGCACAGCATATGGGGAGCCAGTGGAGGACCCTATTTTCTGAGGAGCCTCAGGGAGAATGCCCCTGTGGATAAGGAGTTCATAAGTGACAGAGCTGGCATCCCACTCTGGGCATCCAGGGGCAGTGGGAGTCTTCCTGGCAGGTGCCTGCCAGGCAGGGGGACCCTCTGGGTCAGAGTAACTTCACAGTCATGAGATGATGAGCAAGTCCTCACCAGTCTACCTTCCAGCTCCTTTCTGCTTCCTCCAGCATGTTTTTATCTGTGGGAAAATAGGTGAGGCCCCAAAGGACCTGAGCTTGTTAGAAAGCTGACTGCATCGAGATGCTGTGGATTCTCAAAGGTCCTGTGGCTCTAGGAGGTGAGTGCCTAGAAGTTTTGCTGAGAATCCACTCATTGATCTGTTTATTTATTTGAGATGAGGCCTCACTCTGTTGCCTAGGCTGGAGTGCAGTGGCACCATCACAGCTCACTGCAGCCTCAATCTCCCAGGCTTAGGTGATCCTCTTGCCTCAGCCTCTGGGTAGCTGGGACTACAGGCACATACCACAAAACCCGGCTAATTTTTTATTTTTTGTGGAGATGGAGGTCTCACTATGTTGCCCAAACTGGTCTTGAACTCTGGGCCTCAGATGATACTCCTGCCTTGGCCTCCCAAAATGCTGGGATTACAGGTATGAGCAACAGTGCCCTGCAGAATCCACTTATATAAAGAACTATCTTCAGAGAGGGCTTCCTGCCATCTCCCTCTAACTCTTGTTATTTTTCCTTTTCAAGATTGCTCTAGTTTAATTCAACCAACACTTCCTGAGCAAAGCACCTGGCTCTCTGAGGAATTAAAAGTTAAATCCCAGGCCAGGCATGGTGGCTCATACCTGTAAACCTAGCACTTTGGGAAGCTGCAGTGGGCAGATCACCTGAAGTCAAGAGTTCAAGACCAGCCTGGCCAACAAGGCAGAACCTCGTTTCTACGAAAAATATGAAAATTAGCTGGGTGTGGTGGTAGCCACCTGTAGTCCCAGCTACTCAGGAGGCAGAGAATCACTTAAACCCGGGAGGCAGAGGTTGCAGTGAGTAGAGATCGCGCCACTGCGCTCCAACCTCGGTGACAGAGAAAGACTCTGTCTCAAAAAAAAAAAAGTTAAATCCCAGCTGTCCTCCAGGACCTTGGCAGTCTAGTGGGACAAGGTGGCCTGATATTTACAAAACTATGTAAACTGGAGGATTCTTATGTGGGTGACAAGGTACAAGTTCGCTGAAAAATCAGTCATAAGGCAGATTGATTAACAGGAGAAAAGGCATACAAATGTATTTAACATGTGTACATGGGAGGCTTCAGAATGAAGATCCAACTTCCCAATGAGGTATGGAAGCTTATCTACCATCTTGAGGCTACAGAAAGAACAGGGGGTTGGATTCTCACAAAAACAGGTTATGGGAGTGGGGGAGAAAAATAATTATATCAAAGGGCAGAGGGAGAATGATTGAATCCAGGAACAGAAGTTAACTTGTAAATAGTTCTCCCTGGATTTTAAATGATCCTCAGAGACTGTCATTATCTTGAAAAAGGGTCTGTTGAGACCCGTTTTATGGTTAGATTTTTGGTCTTCTTTCCTGAACTGGATAATGGGATAAAGGAAGAAGAAGAAAAGTTGTTTTCGTGTGTCAGTCCTTTTTTTTTTTTTTGAGATGGAGTTTAGAGTTTTGCTGTTGTTGCCCAGGCTGGAGTGCAGTGGCACGATTTTGGCTCACTGCAACCTCTGCCTCCTGGGTTCAAGCAATTCTCCTGCCTCAGCCTCCCCAGTAGCTGGGATTATAGATGCATGCCACCACGTCCGGCTAATTTTTTTATTTTTAGTAGAGATGGGGGTCTCACCATGTTGGCCAGACTGGTCTTGAACTTCTGACTTCAGGTGATCCACCTGCCTCGGCCTCCCAAAGTGCTGGGATTATAGGGCGTGAGCCACCGCGCCTGGCCAGTCCTATTGTTTTTTTTTTTTGAGGCAGAGTTTCACTCTGTCATCAGGCGCCAGGCTGGAGTGCAGTGGTGCGATCTTGGCTCACTGCAACCTCCACCTCCCGGGTTCAAGCAATTCTCCTGCCTCAGTCTCCTGAGTAGCTGGGACTACAGGCACATACC